TGAGAATTTCAGGTTGGTATGCGAAATTTTCATTTGAGACGCAACAAGCTGTACTGCCCGACGATAAATGTGGAAAAGCTGTGGTCACTGGTTTCCGAAGATCTTCGAAAAGCGTATGCTGAGAAAACGTCAAAGTGCCCAGTGATAGATGTTGTTCGTGCTGGTTATTTCAAAGTGCTGGGAAAAGGTCTTTTACCGAAACAGCCTGTAGTTGTGAAAGCGAAATTCTTCTCACATAAGGCAGAGCAAAAAATTAAGGAAGTTGGTGGGGCCTGTGTACTGGTCGCTTAATTTGTTATTGTTTTCAATAAAATGTTTTTGGTAAAATTTGTACGCCTCTTTCAGCAAACTTTTGCTGTTCGTCCAGCAACTGCATATTTTTTCTGCTTCTTAATTGTTGTTCTGTATTTGTTACCGCATTATTATTTAGCTGATGGACATCGTGTAGGCACTGTTGTCGAAGGTGGGATTTTTTAGCGGCCAACTCTTTTCGGCAGCAAATTGGTACTAGCGTATTCAAAAAAGTTAAGGCCATGTCAACTTGATTCGAAGCAATTCTTGGACGAGGGAGTCATCGTCAGCCTTGCCAGCGAACGCCTTCTGCCTTTCACATTATGAAATTTGAAGGATTTGGGCTTGATTTTGACCTCACTCATTAAAAAAGCATCCATATTTCTAAAGCGCTTTTGATTTTCTTAGTGCCACTACAGCGATTTACCGCATTAGCCATGTTTAGGAGACTGAAGTGCAATCTGTCGAGGTTGACTGGTCAGATGAGGTAGGAAGGGAGTATGGTTCGGGTACGGGAGAAGGGTGGGACAGATAATGCTTCTCGTTGCTTATGGATTTTAATTTATCTAATTTTATTAATTTAGACAAAAGTGCATTGTTCTCAATCGAGCTAAGGCTTTCTGGCGACGTGCACTTGAGATTATAGAGAGAAATGGCTTCGAACTCGGAATTGGCATGTGTCTACGCTGCGCTCATCTTGCAAGATGATGACGTTGCAATTACTGGCGATAAGATCTCAACTCTCCTCAAATCCGCTCACGTTGAAGTGGAACCGTTCTGGCCTGGACTGTTCGCGAAAGCACTGGAAGGAGTGGACGTAAAGGTAAGTCTTGCAACATCTGTCCTCATTCATATGTGTAAAAGCACTTATGTGTAAAATTATTGAAACTTGGATCGGTTGGACTCGCATAAAAAGCAGTGTGGGCATTGGCGGGTCAAAAGGGGGGGGGGGGGGGGGGGGGGGGGGGGGGGTTT